AGTAGCATAGTGGCTAAAGCACTTGACTGCTAACCAGAAGGCTGGCGGTTCAAACCCACCAGCCACTCCTCGGAAGGAAGGTTGGGCAATCCTACTTCGTAGTGATACTGCCTCGGAAACCCAAGGAGGGGTTGCTATGAGTCAGGGCCGACTCCACGGCACACAACAACAACAACAACAACAATATGTTTATTAAATGAAAAAAACCCTGGCTTTCTTTACAGAGGAAATTGAACAAAGCTACACAGCATACATAACCCATGTCGGGGAGCTTTGCTCACTCCTCTCACCTGGCCAGAATATTAGACTGGAAAAAAGGGAAACTAAACTAGTATTTGTTATTGTTACAATGTAGGTCTATTTTTAACCTCACAATCAAATAAATTTGATGGAGTTACCAGGTTTTTTATTATAACTGCATCTGTTCCACATTCGCTCACTTGCCGAGGGCTGTAACTCACACAGCAAATTAGAGACAACACTGCACTATGTGATTTGTACAGTAGTTGGAATTTCACTAGCGTTTTAAATGTGACCTCCACCTGGTTTGCTCTTTCAGATATTCAGCTTTAGAAAGATGTTGTTGAGCCAGGACAGTGCTGCGTTATCTTTGCTGATTTTCCACTTAGGGAAAGAGCAGTGATGAAATTTTCATTTCAAAGCAAGAGAAAACATCAATCTTTTACTTCAGTCAGCATAGTGACCTTTGGCTTTAACATATGGGCTTTACCATTTTTGTGAATGTCAGTTCCCTGAAAGAAATGAATTCTAGTATGAGGTATAGGTCTGTAAAGGAAGAAGAAATGCAATTACTGGCTTTTTTTTTTTTTCCCCCTTACCCACGTGATCAAGATTGGGTAATTGCTCCTTCTTTTCCTTCCAAGCAAAGGGAGCAACTTGCTAGAAAACCCCACAGTAAATGTTCTATCAAGGGTCACTTGGAATAACCTTTGATTTTTCAAACAGAGCAAAAGCCGTATGTTCCGGGTACAGTTTAGTGGAGAGTCGAAGGAGCAGGCCCTGGAGCACTGCTGCAGTTGTGTGCAAAGCCTGGCCCCCTACATCACCGTCCAGGAGCCCGACGGAATCATCCAGGAGCTTCGGCCGAGTCCCGGCTCACTCAGGGCAGGTGAAAGCCAAGGGCAGGACCGTGCAAAGAGTGTCCCATTGCAGCCCGGGGTAAGTAGGCTACTGGATGGCCATACAAGAAATGTGACTGTGTAATGCACTGTGGGTGCCAGAGTCAAAATGGAATTTGTCAAGTCCATCAAGTTTGTAGTTTTAAAAATATGTAATGCTGAATATTTTAATTGAAGGTTTAATCCTCGTTGTGTCCTCCTGTAATCCTAGAAATTAGAAAGGGGGGTGTCCCAGCTGGCATTCTAGGTGTCACTGTACAACAGTGGTTCTGAGTGTGGGCCGAAGACTTCTCCCTCAAACCCTCTTAAGGGGGCCCACCAAATCAAAATTCTTTTCAACATGTTGTTGTAGTTTATCATCAAGTCAGTTTTTACTCATAACAGCCCCATGTGACAGAATGGAAGGGCCCCATAGGGTTTACTAGGCTGTAATCTTTCCAAAAGCACGTCACCAGGGCTTTGTCCCACTGAGTGGGTTTGAGCTGTCAGCCTTTCCATTAGCAGCTGAGGACTTAACCATTGTACCACCAGGGCTCCTTTTCAAAATAATTTGTTGTTGTTGTTGTGTGCTTGTTGTGTGCCGTCAAGTCAGACCCGACTCATAGCGACCCCTCCTTGGGTTTCTGAGGCAGTATCACTACAGAAGTAGATTGCCCCATCTTCCTTCAAAATAATAGTAAGACTTTTTTGCCTTGTCACTGTGGCAACATTTGCAATGCTGGTACAAAAGCAATAGTGGGCAAAGCTGCTGTCGCCTTAGCATCAATCCAGGCAGTGGCACCAACCCGTGCTAGTAATTCATTATGTTTTTCACTAGCACTAAAAACAAATGTAACCCAAACAAAAAAACCTTGTCTACTGAAGTAGGATGGTTGTTTCGAGGAAAAGCACTTATGTGATTGTTCAAGTTGGAGCTGAACTAGCCTTTTTCTTTTTTTTCCACAGATCACAATTATTACTGATTTTTTAAAATATATAATTACATAATGAAATAGTTCAACCTTTGGAAGATCTGTATAGTTCAGTAAATGAGTATTTCCAAAGGGCCAATGCATGGTGTTACAAAAGCATGCACGGATAAGAGATCCATTCAAAATGCAAGACAGACCAACAGATGCTAATATAAGCAGTATAACAATTTCATATGGTTTCAGGTCCTGTGTTGCAACTAACCTTTGAAAAACTTGTTGAGTTTTGGTGTTGTATCAAAGAATATCCACAGTGATCTGAAAAGCTATTTAAAAATATTCCTCCTTTTTCCACGTACATCTCTCTATGAGGCTAGGTTTTCATCATCTACTTTCTACCAAAGCGACGTATTGCAGCGGATTGACTGCAGAAGCAGACAGGAGGATCCAGCTGTCTTCTGTTAAATTAGGGAGTTTTGCAAAAAAAATCATTACATTTTTGTTTGGAGAATAGTTATTTTTCATGAAAATTATGAAATGTTAACATTTAAAGGGTTCATTTTTAAAGAATCAGTTTTTAATTTTTAATATGGTAAATATTGATGGATATAATGCAAATAAACAAAAGCTCTTCCAAGGCTTTTTTAGAGTGTGAAAAGGCCTTAAGACCAAAAATTTGAGATTGTTGCTGCAGAATTTCTCCCAGACATACATGTACCAGCATTTCTTTGGCATGGTCCCAAATGCTATTAGTAATAATCTCTGCTCTGGGAATGAAATCCCAGGTTCAAGCCAGGTTTATTATTTTCTACTTTGTGATTTTCCAAACATGGCTTTCTATCACTGCATCCTGCATCCATTTAAACTGTGTACCAAGAGAATTTATTTTTTGCTGTTTTATCACCAAGTTTCTTGTCATTCATAATTTTATCTAATAAATTTACATGACCATAAAGTCTTTTCCTTTAAACAGGTGCCACCCGATTTCCTCTTGAATGTGGTACTTGCCAAATCAGATTCTTTTAATCATCTCCTCCCTAAAAATGGGATGGACTGGTTTGTTATAAGGTACTTTTTACCTGTGGTCCTTTGCCTTTGAAATAGGTTTCTTCTTTGGGTAAATACTACCCTCCTGATCTCCTATGGCTGATTGTTCTATGAGTGCACACCCTCCTAGAATTACTGTTCACCTTACAGGCCTATGCATCGATTGGCTGAAAGGTGAGCCAGGGGGGTGAGTTCAGGTCCTGACTTAAATGCTAAAGGCCACAATCTACAAGGACCACAGTCTTCATCTGACCAGTAAGTGTGGTCTTTTTTTTTTTTTTTAATAATTTTGAGTTTGGGGCCACAGTTTTCTCCCACTCTCTCTGGGACCTCTTATTGTGATCCTTTTCAGAGTGGCCAACAGTAGACACAGACGTCATTTAATTTTTCTGGCCTCAGGGTCATGAAATAGGTTTATTTTTATGTAGGTTTCATTAACCAATTATCAAGATTCAGATTATAATCTAGTAAACCCAGTGCATGGGGTACAAGAAGAAACAAATAGGGACCCAGAATTTGGAACTAGGTCTGGAATGCCCTGTAAAGATAAGGAAGACACAGCAGGCTAGAATCTCATCAAGGCTGCACAATTATCTAAATGTTGAAAATGCCAGATAAATTGAGGTTGGAACTCATAGGAACAAATGCAGGCCAAGGCTGGAAGCTGCAGCAGCAGATGCAGGCTCAGCTCTCTGATTTTACAGGCTGGCCCCAAATATCTAGAAATAGCCCTCAAATGATTAGAAAACACTCATGTCTTTTCCTGATTCTGTATTCAGGGACTCTTCTGATCTGTAATTTGGTTTTCTGAGTAGCTGAGACATCATGAAATTGTGCAAAGACCACAGCCTTTAGACTCGAACAGATCTAGGTTTGAAACCTGGCCCTTTTAATATCAGCATGATTTCATGCAAGCCACTAAACCTCACGTGTAAAATGGTGAGACTGCAGGGCCACGTAGAAAGCACCTAGGTCAGTGCCTGGCGAACATAATCTTAATAGCATTATCCACTACTACTGGGTAGTCATGGGAAATTACGAGCCTCAGGGGCTCTGGCACACCTGACTGTTTTGTCTGTGGCATGCCATTCTGGTTGATATTTTTTCCCAGCTGTCTGAAGAACATTGTATTACCCAATAATACTGTTACTATTATTGCCAGTACCGGCAATCACTGGATCATGAAAAAATTCTGTCCCTAAATCTGTCTTTAAGTTGGATTTTTACATAAGTCTGAACAATGTTGCCTATCTAATGTCAGTTGGTCAAATGTTTGTCTTAGTACATAGTGTATAGTGTACCTTTCTATACATAGAAAACATTAAAAGAAACACTTCCAAATACACTAAAACCCCTTTAACATAATACAGCAATGATAAATGTTTCGATGTACATTGCAAAGTTGTGGCCACTTATAATTACGAACCATTGTATGTACCTCAAATTTTGAATATAATAGGTGTGGTAGTTAAAGCTGGGTGTCAACTTGACTGGGCCATGGTTTTGAGTGCCTGGGCAGCTGGATATAGTTATTCCCCATGATGAGATTATAATCACCTTCATGGTGGAATCTGCTGTGAGCAGTTAGGGTGCTACCTTTGGGGTGTAGCCTACTTCCAGTGTATAAGAAGAAGCTTTTGGCACATTGGGATCCTGCACTTGGCCAAGTCTTCATCTCACTGGCCTGCCCTGTTGCCTGCCAGTCTTGGGACTGTGCCATTTTGCCTGTCAATCATTGGTTTGTCAGAGCTGAAGCCCAAGGTTGAGGAGCCTTCACCCAGCCCATAGAGCCACCTCTTTGAACTTGGAATTCAGTCTCCTGAACTGTAAGAGAATAAATCCCTTTTGTTAAAGTCATCCACTTGTGGCATATTCTGTTATACCAGCATTAGAGAACCACAACAATAAGCTTTACAGGGTTCATTTGTACCTAAGTCAAATGTGTAACCCAACTGTCTGTACTGTTACCTTGTCATATCTACCCTCTCTTGCAGATTAACAAATTGTGGTTAGCAAGGCTCAGAACCTCTAGAGCCAATAGGCTCTAGACTGAGTGCTGAGACTGAGTGAAGCTGCAGAGCAGAAGGCAAGACAAAGCCTTAAAGGTGAAATCCACTGGAGTGCAGACATTATAAGGCACTGCCTAGAACACATTAGTTTTCGTAGACAAAACAGGACCGTCAGACCAGGCTTGTCGTACTATTGCTATGCAAATTGGGCATCATGCTCCCTTCCTCGAAATCCACCTTAGCAGTTGGAGGCTATGCCAAGTTCTGATTATCTTGATGCTCTCCAAGTCAGATGTGGTTAAGCACTCAGCTGCTAACCAAGAGGCCAGCAGTTCAAACCCACCAGCCGCTCTGTGGGAGAAAAATGTGGCAGTCTGCTCCCATAAAGATTCACAGACTCGGAAACCCAATGGGACAGTTGAGTCAGAATCAACGTGACGGCCAGCAAGTTTTTATACATACGTTTTTGTCCAAAATAGGTGTTTCCTTCTTCACAAAGAGAGATAATTTCATGTCTATTTCAGGTTCTTGAGTCATTTCCTGGCTTGTATTTTAGTTTTTAACTTTTCCTCAGCCTTGTAATTTTGCTAATTGTGGCCTAACCAGGTGTTTCTCAACCTCAACCTGAGGGCTTCTAAGGCAACCCATCCACCCCCTCAGGCGGGTGGAGGGAAGACAGGAGAGGATGACAGTTTCCTCTGTGAACTCTCCTTTGTTAGCACAGAGCCCAGAAGGAAGGAGCCAGGGGGCATCAGCTGCTTTGTTCACAGAACCTTTCACTTCTGAGGATGGTGGACCATCTAATCCTGGGGCCAGCCCGGTGACCTCAAGTGCTTCAGCACATGGCTGCTGTTGACACAGCGTTTGTTTATGGCATACTGTTTTGGTTGGTCTTTCCCAGTTGTTTGAAGAACTTTGTATGAACTAAACTGTTAACATATTTTAGGAAAGCATCAAATATCAGAGCTGAAACACTAGCTAGGCATGAGAGTCTAACTTACTTTTACAGATGAAGAAACTGAACGGAGAAATGGGGCTTGTCTAAGGACCCTGAGCCTTTCTGCTCATTTTGAGTTAGTATTCTTGACCAGTTTTTTTTTTCTCTCCTTCCTTCCTGGCCTCCCATCCCTTTATGGCTGCTTCTAGATCTGTGCTTCTGCTAAAATCCACTGACTAGGTCCTTCATGTAGGACAGAATTTGCCATCCTCTTACTGCAGCAGTCAGAGCATGGTACTGGTGTACAGGCCACCCTCCAGAGCACCTGGGTTTCTCCCTGTATTACCCCATCAGCTCCCACCTAAGGCAGGAATGCTGCTGCTTGTCTGGAGATAAGCATGGCAGGAGCCACATGATCCCAAACACTGCCAGCCTGCAAGTGTGTCACCTGGGAAGGCAAGGTGGTAGGGTTCTCAGAAATGCCCGTTTTTAGGTGGAAACAACTCTGAGAGTCTTTTGTGCCCCCAAACCTCATATAGCTCCTTCATTCCATCTCCTGTATTTCTCCTGTGATGCCTCCTCATCACTATTGGTTCCTTCAGACCACACGGACCCAGGAGTGTTCACACTTCATGCTGAGCACACAGCGCCCTCCAGTCCACTCCCTCCCCTGGCAGCCTGAGCACTTATACTTACCTCCGGCTAGTACTTACCTCTCCATTGCTCACCACTGTTTTACTTGGTAGGTTTTCCCTAGCCCAACGGTTTCTTGAGAGCCGGACCTCTATCTTGGTCTTTGTAACCCTTTCTCCTGTATCACCCCAGTAGCTAATATAAGATAGACACAAATTGTTGAATGAATGAAATCTAGGAATTTCATGTATAGAACTCTCATTCCCTCAGAATACCTAACCTGAGATTTAAAAAAAAAAAAAATTCAACCGTTTCATGCGGGTTTTTTTCCTTTCTTTTCTGCAATTAACGTGTGTTAAGTAATCACTTTAAAAGGTGACAGATCATGGTTATCAGACACTAAGCAATGTCTCCTGCATACAAGCTGCCACAGGGACTTTCCTGGCCTCCACGGTGCCTCCTGACTCAGGTGCCTCCTGATTCAGGCCAGGCCTCTGATGAAGTGCCATGTGTCTGACTAGAAGCAGCAGTAACCCCGTCTGACACTGAGGAACATAAGGTTCTGGGTGGAGCCTCAAACTTAAACTCCTTCAGTAACTCTGTTGTGGCAGATCAGGTAACAGCCCCAGTTCAGTTTAAACCAGTACAGACTTACACTGACATAATTTTTATTGATACTCTTTTTTTCAAAATGAACGCACATTTCCATTACTTGAGTGGCTGATGGTGTTTCCAATTATGTTCAGCCAGTCTTCTAACTGCATGTTGTTTCATTCCACCAGAGCCCAGAGCAGCAGCAGCATAGAGCGCCTGGCACGAGCACTCCAGAGGGAAGAACCTCCGTGACACGGTTAGCTCAGGTACAGCCTATTTCTGTGTTCACTTTTGTCACAAAAAAAAACAGCAGTTCTCTAAGACTGTGTATCGCTGTTCACTCCCTTGTTCTAGAATAGTGACCTGAAGGATTAAAGAAGTCAATAGGGGCAGAAGACAGGCCATTTTCATCTACCCCTGTTTATTACACATGAAAAACTGTTCTCCTAAGGAAATAAAAAGAGGAAGAGTGGTTTATAGTGTTAGCCTTTAAATGTGTGAGATAAAGAACGTAATCACTTTCCCAAAAAGAGGAGTTAAAGGGAAGAACTCCAGTTTTATTCTGGCAGTGAAACTGGATAAACTATACTACGACAAATATCAAAACGAATTTGGAGTGAGGCACATGAACTAGGGTTTCTGTGTGAACAGATCCTCAGTGTTACGATCTTAGCTAAGGATATGTGGAAACGTGCAAGGATTCAACTGTGTCACCAAGAGACCTGCTTCCAGACACCCCCTCCTTTCCCTGAATAGTTAGTTTGCTATTAACCTGAGAAACCTACAAAACTTACTCATTCAAAATCAGCTACTTGATGTCCATCCTGCCAGAAACTCCTTAAGGACTGTGTCCCTTCCTTGTTGCATTTCCTGCTGTGCCCAGAGTAGGCTCTCAGCCACAGCATATGCTTTCCACAAACTTCTGCATGGAATTCATCGGTATTCAGGGATGGGTCTTCCTTTTAACACATCTATCAAACATCTGCCAACAGTGGTATAAAAAACAGGTGTCTCTACCGTCGGGCTTACAACTAAGAATAAATACACCATCATATAAAGAAGTGGAGGGATAAGAAGACTAAAAATCCATGTTTCTTTTTTATTAAAAAAACAGCAACTGACAGAAAATTAAAAGGCCTTTTTTTTTTTTTTCCAGCAGCAGGGAAGCCTTCATAATGCCCTGTTTTCAGCCTTGAATTTGCATTGGGCTTATGGGTTAATTAGATCAGAGTGGTTGAGGACACTAGAGCTGCAGAAATATAGGAGGCAAGGCAGGGTGTGATGATCCTTATTTAGGAAGTATCAGTTATTCTAAAAGGTACCTTAGCTCAAACCATAAGGCATCTACATAAATGGAAGAACATACTATGCTCATGGATAGGAAGATTGAACACTGTGAAAATGTCAGTTCTACCCAAAGCAATCTATACATTCAATGCAATCTCAATCCAGATCCCATCAACATTTTTTAAGGATATGGAAAAACCAATCACTAACTTTATAGAGAAAGGAAAGAGTCCTCAGATAAGCAAAGCACTACTGAAGAACAAAGTAGGAGGTGTCACACTGCTGGATCTCAAAACCACAGTACAGCCACAGTAGTCAAAACTGCCTGGTATTGGTATGACAGACACATAGACCAATGGGATAGAATTGAGAAGCTAGAAACAGATCCACCAACCTATGGTCAGCTGATCTTTGACAAAGGGCCAAAATCCATTAAATGGGGAAGAGAATGTCTGTTTAATAAAATGGTGCTGCAAAACTGGATATCCATTTGCAGACAAATGAAACAAGATCTGTACCTCACACCATACACAAAAATTAACTCCAGATGAATCAGACTTAAATGTAAAACCTAAAACTATAAAGTGCCTCAAGGAAAAACTAGGGGCCAATTTAGAGGCCCTAATGCACGGCATAAATAAACTATCAAGCATAACCCAAAATGCACAAATAGCAGAAGAGAAACTAGATGAATGGGACCTTCTAAAAATTAAATTTTTATGTGCTTCGAAAGATTTTTCCAAAAGAGTCAAAGAGAACCTACAGATTGGGAAAAATATTTGTCAATGACATATCTGACAAGGGACTTATCTCTAGAATTTATAGAAAACTCCAACACCAATTAAAAAATGGGCAGAAGACATGAATAGACACTTCACCAAAGAGGATATTCAGGCAGCCAACAAACATATGAAGAAATGTTCACAATCATTAGCCATTAGCAAAAACCAAACTCACTGCCATTGCGTTGGATCCAACTCATAGCAACCCCTCCTTGGCTTTCCGAGGAGATATCACTACAGAAGTACACTGCCCAACCTTCCTTTTGAGGAGTGGCTTGTAGGTTTGAACCCACCAGCCTTCTGGTTAGCAGTCAAATGCCTTAGGCACTATGCCACCAGAGCTAGAGAGATGCAAATCAAAGTAATAAGATACCATCTTGCCCCAGAAGACAGAAGACAGAAAACACCAAATGCTGGAGAGGATGCAGAGAGATTGGGACTCTCATACACTGCTGGTGGGACTATAAAATGGTACAACCACTATGGAAAGCAATATGGCGATTCCTTAAAAAGTTGGAAATGGAAATACCATTTGACCCAGCCATTCCATTACTAGGTATATATCCTAAAGAAGTGAGAGCCATGACAAGAACAGACATATGCACACCCATGTTCATCGCAGCACTGTTTACAAGAGCAAAAACATGGAGACAACCTAGGTGCCCATCAGCAGAATGGATAACCAAACTATGGTACATACACACAATGGAATACTATGCAACCCTGAAGAATAGCAAAGAATCTGCAAAACACCACATAATGTGGATGAACTTGGAGAACATTATGCTGAATGAAATAAGTCAATCACAGGACAAATATTGTATTAGTCCATTATTGTAAAAAGTCAAGGAAAGGCTTATACATGGAAGTAAATTCTTTGTTGGTTACCGGGGGGGGAGGGGAGGGGAGGGGAGGGAATATTGTTAGATAGGTAGAGACAAGTACTGATTTGGGTGAAAAGAAGGGCAATGTACCAAACTTGAGTGATCAACACAGTGGCACTGAAGAGAAAGAGAGAGAGAGGTATAGACAACAAAGATGAACCCTTTGCACATATAGTACTGCGTTGTCAGTGAAGGCAAACATGGATATACAGGTGCATAGATGGGTGGACAGGCTGAACTATTAGCTATGTCTGTGCAGGGGGGGCAGGGGCGAGTGTCCCCAAGACCACGTATAGGGTTGGCAAACAGTGTTTCTACAATTGTATTTGTTCTGTAAGAATTCCCAGGTGTATAGTACAGCTGACAAAGGACAAGATTGTAGTCACTTCTTGGGCACACCAGCTACCCAGAGGGAGCAATTAGTTGGACCTGAGGACTCAGGACTATAATCGCAGGGGACATCAAGCTCAATTGGTATAACATACTGCACAAAACATTGTTCCACATCCTACTTTGGTGAGTAGCAACTGGGATCTTAAAAGCTTTCAAGCAGTCATCTTGATGCAATAATGGGTCTCTCCTCATCCAGAGTAAAGATGATGAAGAAAACCAAAGACTCATGGAAACAGTGCAGGTGACTGGTACATCGTGCGACCCTCAGCCTGTATGACTATGAGACCAGAAGAACTGGATGGTGCCCAGCTGCCACTATCAACCACTCGGAGCGGGATTTAGGTAGAAGATCCTGGATAGAGTGGGAGAACGATGTGGAACAAAACTCAAAATCATTTGAAAAAAAAAAGGATCAGGTTTGCTGGTCTGATAGAGCCTGGTGGAACCACTGAGAACTATGGCCCCCAGCTGCCCGTCAGGTCTGGAATTGAACCCACACCTGTGGCTTCCAGCCAAGCAAAAGACAGACATATGTCTGAGTTGAACATTTACCTGAGGTAGATACACTCCTTGGAGAGAACAATCATGGGAGAATAGAAGGGCTGTGTATGCACAGGGAGACAGCTCAGGGGGCAGGAGTGCATGGAAGGAAGGACACAGGGAAGAGGTGACTATGGGAAGTGGGAGGGGAGCTGTTGCACTGTGGTAAATTGTAGTCAATGCCAATGCCATGAGACAGTGTATGTGAACTGCTGTATGGAATGTGAATTTGCTCTGTAAACTTTCACCCAAATCACTCAAATCAGCAGCTTTAGTGAAAAAGGAAGCCCCTCAACGAGATGAATTGACACAGGCTGCAACCATGGGCTTAAAGATAACAATGACTGTGAGAATGGCACAGGACCAGGCATGGTTCTGTTCTGTTGTGCATGGGGTCATTACCAAGGACACCTAACAAAACCAAACAAAGCACAATTTATTTACATGGTATGTAAGAATTAGGTACAAATGGAATAAAGGCACCAGACCCGGAGCTCAGGTACGTTACTACTTTGCTCTAACCTGGAAAGTCATTCTACGAATCTAAGTTCATAAAATTTTTTAGAAGGCAATTTAGCAATATATATCAAATTTAATCTTGTTACCTTATTACATATAATTATCTTTTAACTCCACAAATATGCATATAATAATTATAGTGGTCATAGTGGTGTTTATAGTGATCAAAAACTGGAAAAAACATAAATGTTCATAAACAGAATTCTGAACAGTTCAATGAAGTGCAGTACAACCACAGATGGGATAAAAATGCAATCAGTGAAAGTGATACAGATTCCTATCTTTTGACATGGAAAGATACTCACAGCATTAAGTTTTTAAAAAGGAAGCTACAATACCACCACGTATGATTTTGTTTTATAACACACAAAATAGGTTTGGAAGGATATACACTAACATGTTACACGGCTGTCACTGAAGAACAGCGTGCTATATTACTTTCATATTCTTCTTCATACCTTTAAGGACTGGTCTGAAGGTAGAAAAGTAAGTTTCTATTGTTGATAACTCCCAGAGAAATGTCCATTTCAGAGTGCCACGCATAGGAAGAAAAAAAAATCTATTTAACAGAATTAATGTGAGTAGTACATGAGATGACTGAGTCAAAGAACCAAAAGTAAGGCTGACCACAATAGGGATGGAGCCAGTCATACTTATGTGGGAAGGTGGATCCAGTATTGCCAGATCTTCAAATTTTTAAGCATTTACACTTGCACTTTCATGTGAAATCTCCTAATATTTAAATGCAGTGTATTCCAATTGTTTTAAAGTATTGCAAATAACAGTGTGTATACTAAAGAAATATACAGATGGCAGATAAGCATGTGAAAAGATGCACATCACTAGTTGCTAAAACACCACTGCCATCAAGTCGATTCTGACTCAGTGACCTACCACAAAGAGAAGTTACTACTTATTTTATTAAAATGGCTGAAATTTTAAAAAAAAAGCTGGTAATATCAAATGCTGGATGGATGCGGAGCAACTGGCTCATGGAATGTACAGTGGTGCAGCCGCTGTGGGAAACAGTTGGCAGTTTCTTATAAACTTAAATATACACCTACCAAAGAGCCCAGAAGTCCCATCCCTACGTGTTTACCCAAGTGAAATCAAAGTACCTTTTTCATGAATGTTTATAGCAGCTTTCTTCTTAACTGCACAAAGCAGAGGAACCCCAGTTTACTTCAGCTGGAGAAGAAACTGTGGTACATCCAGACAATGGACTATCATTAGCAACAAAGAGCACTGCTCTACTGATGGACCTAACAACATGGCTTCACCTCAAGTGTATTCTGCTAAGTAAATATGTTGTTGTTGTATGTGCTGTCAAGTCGGCCCCAACTCATAGTGACCCCTCCTTGGGTTTCCGAGGCAGTATCACTATGGAAGTAGATTGCCCCATCTTCCGTCCGATGAGTGGCTGGTGGGTTTGAACTGCCCGCCTTCTGGTTAGCAGTCAAGTGCCTTAGGCACTATGCTACCAGAGCTCCCAAGTAAACATAGCCAGACTCAAAAGGCTACATATTATAATTCTATTTATATGACATTCTGGAAAAGGTAAAACCACAGGTACAGAGAACAGACTGGCAGTGGTCAGGGTGGGGGGGGAGGTTCTGACAAGGAAGGAGTAAGCATGAGGGAATTTTGGGGGTGATAGAAATGTTCTGTACCTCGTGGTGACACTTCCATGATTCTCCATGTTTGTAAAACTTCACAGAACTGAATATATCAAAAAGAGTGAGTTTTGCCATATGTAAATTTAAGTGTTTTAAAAACAAACACTGTAGGGCCAGAAAAAGACAGGTGTGAGCTAATTGTGGTACCCTCTGGTCGTCAGTTTATGACAACTGTTTATTACATCCAGAACTCAGCTTCCACATAGTGAACTACTCTACTGCCTCCTGCACTTACGAAGTGGAGAGATGAACCAAGTTAGTGGACTTCATCATCGACGGGTTTCCTGTTAATCCTCAACAGTATTCTTCATTAAGGCACGATCTTAACTGTACAGATCATTTTTCTTTAAGGATACATGTTTATTTCACTTTCTACATGTATTTGAAAAATGTATCTATTAACTCTAAAATGTATTATGTAAAGGAACTCTGTAACACTATTTTTTAACAATTTCCCTTAAACCAAACACACAGCCATCAAGTCGATGCTGACTCACAGCGACCCGTATTGGGTTTTCAAGGCAGTAAATCTTTACAGACGTAGATTGTCCCAGCTTCCTTCCAAGGAGTGGCTGGTGGGCTTGAACCACCAACATTCTGGTTAGCAGTCAAGAACCTTAGGCACTGAGCCACCGTAAGGCAGAGTTTTCCTGTGTTCTGTATCCAGACTCTTGCTTTCACCTGCAGTCTCTAATAAGTGGACTGTTTGATGTCCCTGCAGTCTATCCTGGCGTCGAAGGAGCTGTCCCTTGTCTATGAACAGTCTGCATGGGGTGCTGACCAGATAGGCCCCTTTCTCCGCTTGTGCCTTATGGATCAGAATTTCCCAGCATTTGTGGAAGAGGTGGAGAAAGAACTAAAAAAGCTGACAGAGTTGAGAAATTAATGCTGTACATACATACATAACTAAGGAACTTGAAAGTACTGGAAAAAGTTTCCTCCTAGAATTAGAAAAGACACTAGAATAAAAAGACTATTATTCCAAACACCTTTTATCAATGTTTTATTTTTAAAAACAGGTAAATTCACCTTTTTATACATCATTGCACTTCAACAATTACACAAAACACAAGCACATGCATCTATAGTTATGTACTGCATGAGAACCCTGTTAGGTTATAAAATCGACAATCAACCATCAAATCAACGTGAAAAAAAATACAGTGTCAAACCAAAAAGTGTAATTAGTTGCATAGAATATCACCATGCTGTAACATTTCAAGGTCACTGAAAACAAAGGGTAAATTATAAAAGTTTGCCTTAATTGAATGTACAAGAATAAGGTTCAACACATCAGTGCAAAAGGATTTAAGAATTTACATGATTTAACAGAAGAAAACAAAAAATCACTTAAAAAGCAATCATACATATATACTGCAATTCATTATATCCATTCAGTGGACCATACCAGCTTCTTATTAAAGTCGTAGGTTAAGCCCTTAAAATTATAGATTTCAGTTTATATTACTCATCTTTATGTACCGAAACTGCATAATTTCCTCATCTGACAACATAAAATAAGGAGTCGGTATCAATCAGCAGCTTAAAAATGAAACAAGCATTTACTTTATTTTTGGATTTCTCCCACCCCAAAAAATATAAATATATATATATATATATTTATATACTGTATATATCTGTAGGTTTGCTGTACTTTTACAAAAAGGTATCACTAGATGGCAGCAGTGCATTTTAGAGCTTTGCCAATTGAACAGCTGCATTAAGTAAAAAATGGCGCATGCATGATCTGATCCTCAGAGGACCTTTTCACTTCTATTTGAATATTTTAACAAAGGAAAAAAAGCAACATTCACAGCACATCAAGCCCAAAACAGTTTACACCTTCTACACTGAAGCATTGTTTAAAATGTGTCTGACTAGGTCATCCTTACAGGAGAGGCTAAAGAAGGCATGCTTTAGACAGTCATTGTGGTGCTGCTCACTTGAAAGGGGGAGAAAAATGTAGTTATAGAACCAAAGAGGTCCAAGCATAAAATTTAGCAGGTCATGTTGCCACCAGTTTCAGGAACCTAAAGATCTGTAAAGAAAGAAGAATTTGGAAATTAAATAGGAATATGCATTGTCACTCAGGACTACATAAGGTGACATGTAAAACAAAACTTTGGTTCAAACAACATGCTCAGGGATGTGGTGTGAAATTCTGATCTCCATGTGCCTAGTAAGACAGCATTCGGCCCAGCTACTGCCTGGGTACCACTACTGTCTTGCACTTCAAAGCAAGGTAAGACTTACAGGCCTCTGGGAACAATCCACGTTAAGAAGGTGACAATGTAACTGTTACCTCTTTTTAAAGATAGAAGTGAATCATGGTGCAATGTATTTCCTTGGAAACATTATACATGTTCTGAAATGACATTTATGTTAAATATGTGTAACAACACTGCCACTAAACTGGGCAGACAGAACCTGTTCCATCAAGATATCAGCTGCCCTGAAATTATCTAAAAGATCTTATGACATAACAGTGTTGAAGGACTTGTGACAAGGTCAATAGAGGCACATTAATTTGAATATAATTTTTAAAATTTCTAAAGAAGTCCGTACTTACATTAGAAGCAGTACTTAATTCGTGTTTCTCTGGCGCAAGTTTTTATCTTTGTGATTGTTGGTGGAGTTGGTTTTCCTTTGGAGGAAAAATTGTATTACAAGCGTTAACGTCAAAGTCAGTAGCAACTTTTGAAAGTGTAACACATGGAAATGCAGGGAGTCTTTCACTTACTACCATCCCTGGTGTAGTAAGAAATTTTACTGCACAGTATTGGTGCATAAAAATAGCCCTTTTGTAAAATACCCACAAACACTTCATTAATAGATCCTTTTGAGTCCCAAGACAGACAACATACAGGTTAACTTTCCCTTTGTTTTACCAATAATAACCCAATTACTAGAAAGGTAAGAATCAATAACTTTTTCTCTGCTGAATACCACTGTCCCTTTTCAACTGGTGAAAGAGATACAATGAGCGGTGCTGGGCTCTGTGGTCTTAACTAATTTGGTTACTGTTTCCCTGCCACTCCTTCTTTAGCCCCTGACTCTAGGAGATTCCCCCGAACTTGGGGACTTGGTTCCACACTTGCAACTCCTTCTTTCTTTGATACGAACAACTACTAATAGAGGTAGGGTATTGCCCATGCTGTAGTCCAGCTTAAAATTAACTTTTAAGAAAACCTGAACCTGCAAATACCTGTCACTTTCCCACATTATCAATATGAACATGTAAGAGATACAAAATTTTAAACGCTTTTTTTGCATGGTATTCTACTTTGTATTGCTAGTAAAGACAAAACCGTACTGCCTGTCCTGGGGATCAAATGATCACTATGGCAATGCCAATCTCAAGCCTACACTGCAGCATCCATTTCATTCACCAGCTTCCCTTACAATCTTAATGACTCCACTGGATTAAACAGAGATACCAAATAATTCCAACTGTTGGATCAACGTTTAATGAAGTACTTACATTGGCCCAGCTGGTTCATCGTCTACACAGGTATTCAGTTTTTTAATAATCCATCGAAAGACAGAGGAAGAAAAGAGAAAATCATTACGGCTCTGCATAAGGATTAATAGAACAGCAGACTGCAAGTGGCAAACATGGCTAGTCATAGCATTTATTCAAGGCCATTCCGTCTGGAGGTGCAAAACACTCATGGAGTTATTTCTAGATTTAAGTTTTTAATGGTAGGTATGTTTTTTCAATGGTTTTAGTTAACACTTTGAATGCTTGTCATGAAAAACTGCAACTATAGCGGACAGATAGGCTGCATACATCATACTCATCCTGTCCCCAAGTTCCAGTGGTTCACTCAAATAGATGAGAAGACAAACCAACATTTCAGTTGTAAAATCCTGCTGTTTGTTTTCTTGTGGTGAATGCATGCGCGGTTTAGGCTCAACCCTACAATGTGGGCGGATGTGTGCGTTCCACACGTTTAGCCTCACGTCCCCAAAGGGCACTCTATTTTTCTCGATGTTTTGTAATCTTTAGCAGAGTCTTTCGTCTAGAGAATGAGTGAGGAAGAGGAAGCCACAACAGTAGAACCTGACAGTGGACCGGCCCTGCTGGGCTGTGCTGGCAACCAACGTATGCGTACCAGAGGATGTTCTGTGACACACCAGGGGGCTGGTTAGTGGTGACGTCCTCCAGATAGAAAGACACGTTCACTTTTATGCCCTGGCCAAAACCAGAACCCAAACCCGGTGAACCATGGACAGCTTCTTTTATTTTTTAATTGAAAAGCTTACATATTCTGAGTTTAGAAGCCATCTTAAATTGTTATTTTACAATTCCGATTTATAACTTTTTCTTTCCTGTTTCAACTAAGAGCAACTTGGTCCCCTTTAAGCAGGGATATACATATATATAATACATATATATATATGTATGTATGTATGTATGTATAATTGGAGAGAATATTGGGGTGGGGGAGTAAAGATCCCCAAAAAAAGAGGGAACAAGTGCTCTTAGTTTCCTTTTAATATGCAAAAGTCAGGTGGGCTAAACGATCCAGAATGGTCTGATTTCCTGAAGGACGCATAGAAAACCTCTCAGCAGGATTCCACAAGGGGGCTTGGTGCACATGAAGCAGGTATGGAGGTCACAGTCTTGGTGTAGGCCCCTGCAGGAGCACACGTCAGGAGTAATGTCTGTCAGAGGGAGACATTGCTCCACCTGTTCCTTTGCGGCAACGGAGAGGCAAAGCCACCGCCAGCACACACAGTGACTGGAGCAAAAAAAAAGTTTCAAGAAAGGAACTAATCACAAACCAATGACTCATCAGCCAAAACAATAGGCTAGCGACACACCAGTGTCCACAGGAGTCCACTACTAACAACAATACACTATCAAAACAGGGACAGAGAACAAACTAAGACTTGAGGACATCCAAGACATCTGTGTATTGTGTATGCAGTGGAATATACAGAGACATACCAGGTACTAAAACATACAATCCCAGCCTAAGTCCTCCCCTCACCACAACTTCCTAACACTAGCATCCTGGCAAAGCCAGCTTGGCTACATGCTAGGAACTAAGCACTGGGGGGGCTTAAAAGAAAGGACACAGAGCAAACAGTATTTTTAATGCTCTGGCTGTGCACCTGAAATACAAAATTTTAATCCAACATAGTGGATTCAAAAATCACACCAATCTACTTCTACCTTTGAAAGAAAAAAGCAGGAAAAAGTACAAAGGGGTGGAGGGAGTCACAATGACCAGCCTAATCTCTTCAAAGCGTAGCAGTGTAGGCACCAACCCAAGCCCTTCATACCACAAGCTTTGCTCCTTTTGGTAATAGGGGTATCCCTGCTGTCCGATTAGTATCATTAGTATCCAGCCCAACAAGCTGAAAACGTGCAAAGAGCAGCGTGGAGGTGTTTTAGCAACAGTGGCTCTGGTAGAGCTGCCATGCCTGCGAGTAGAAGCAGCTGTGAGTCACGCTAGTGTCTCCATCCGATAGGCCCTTCATCTCTCCCCAAATCCATTTCACAAAGAGCAAAGAAAAGAGCCTGGTGTCTTCCTACTCTACCGACTGCATCCTCCTTTGCACCACCACTCTCCCGCACAGGTCAGACAAAAAACGATTTGACCCCAAACGGGGAAATCAGGAGAGGGGGGGAAAACAAAACTATGGGGGGGGGGGTACAAAAATCAAAGTAAATGAGGATTAAACAGCAAACTGAAATCCAAATTAGTCGTGAAAGTGAATGAAGTAAACTTCAAGTGTTAACATCATGAACTGTGTGCATCGTATAGACTGAAGCGGAGATTAAACAAACTCCAAAAGCATGCATATCGCTCACTTACCACCATGTTTTAAGGGTATGATGCAATTGAAGGGGAAAAAAAAGAAGTCATAGTAACCGACAAATATCAACATACCCCCAAACCCTCAGGCCACAGATAGCCAGCTTAAACAATGACTGTTCCCTCCACCTCAGTACTGCTCACAGCCACTGACCGGCTAGAGGAGAGAAGAGCACTGGGGGAGAATGGAAACAAGATGCTAAGGAGTCCACCTCCTGAGAGGGACGCCCCGGCGGAGCCGCAGCACCCACGTTCTCTTGCACGTGCAGCCTTCCTGACCGAAGGCGCCACGGTCCCTGCTCCCATGCCACCTCGTGATCTAGAAGGGGGCTTGGCGATGCTCGGTGAGCACTGGACTACCTGATGTAATGTCACCTCCAAAAAGACAACTTTAAAGCCAAAATAACCAAGAACTGCCTGTTCCATCAAAGGTTTCTCACTGCTGCCTTCTCATGGAGGGTGGTGTATCGTGGTTTCCAAATTCACTTAAGTCTGGTCTGTTCTCTATTGAGTAGCATTAAACCCATGAGAAAGTAACACTTACTTCCAATTTCCTTCCCTTTTTGGTCTTATTGTATTTTCTCCGTCTGGTAACTTGTTACCGACCCAGCTGACCCCTAGTCATAGACACTGAGCGTGTATTTGGATGTCATTTAAAAAGTCACATTTCCTTTCCAACATTCCTGGCATGCTGTAAGGCTTCATGTGCCACCCTATGTTTTGACCAACTAATAAGAGTTTGGAACATTAGAACAGCTCTTCATTCTAAAATGTCAGGAAGAGCTGGGCTGTGTCAGGGCCACTTAACATGGCCCAATAAAACCTCAAATGTCTTCTCCATCAGTAACTGCAAGGGAGATAATAAAAATTAACCCCTTAATGTGAAGACAGGAAACTCTTATTGATGCCAGCACTTCTGTACTGAAATCAGCTCCTACTTTTTAAGTTGATGTCTGTGAGTGAGGTCCCTAAAATGTCCTTAGCAGAGCTGAAGGCAACTAAGCAGGTTCATCCCCCATCCCTGGGGGCTTGAGGAGGGGACTAGACAACACGTTAATCCCACTCTGGGTTTAGTCAGCACTGAGTCCGGTCGGTAGGGAACTACCACAGAAAGGGGGCCCCAAGCACGTGTCAGATGTCAGATGGATGGAAGGCTGGAGGGGTATGGCTTGACCTAGTATTTGCAGCAAATTATCGTTTAACATTTTTAAAGAATACAGTCAAATGGCGAGTAAAGTGAAAAAACAAAGCCCTATTTGGCTCCATGATCCATCTGCTCCTGAAAACACCGAAGGTAAAAAGTAAAACATAGATGAGCCACCTACACAATAAGCTACTAGAAACAGATACTCAGACCATACCAGGGTGGAAGGAACAGAGATGTGAAGGTCATTTACAAAATGGCCTGAGCATATACTTCAGTGGGAGCTCTGGGGGAGTAGTGCCTAAGGCATTTGACTGCTAACCAGAAGGCTAGCGGTTCAAACCCACCAGCCACTCCTCGGAAGGCAAGCTGGGCAATCTACTTCCGTAGTGATACTGCCTCGGAAACCCAAGGAGGAGTCGCTGTGAGTCAGATCTGACTCAACAGCAGTGAGGTTTTTATTTTTTTTCCTTTTCTTTATACTTCAGTAGATAAAAAGACATGATGGGTCTTTTGCTTTTACAAAGCAGGTAAACCTCAACCCTAAGCATGTTCTGTGTGAGAAATTTAGAACAGTATTTTTGCTTCCAGTGGACATTATGAACCCAGTCCATTTACTAAGGGGAATAAGAAAACATACTAACTTTATATAAATGCAAGTTTGTGACTTCAGTATTTTTGTATTGTTCTCTTACTGTTTTTCTTTCTTAGTAGGTGCTAACCTACTAAGACCTAACAGACTGCCTAAAATAAGAACTCTATGAGTTCAAAATTTAAAAAAAAATCAGTGAGTCTGAAATAAATTATAGGTGTATCTTGTCGATAGAAGTATTTCCTTGGCAGAGAAAGAGCATATCAGACTTAAAAAAAAAAAAAAAATCCATGGTCGTAATAGCATACATAAGCCAACACAGGCAGAGCTGCTGCCGAGTTACTGGTGGGTAGAAATTCACCAGCTCTGCAGCTCCAAATCTGTAGCAGGTAAGCGTGTACCTCTTCATTCACGACAAAAAGCATATGCACATACCCACAAGTAAATCTGGGGAGGGGCATATGGCAACTCTCTCCCTTTACTTTTTGGTCTAAATATAGGTGCACTCCACCTTGGGTATCTTAACTTATAGCAGGAAAAAGAAACATCTAGAGAAAAAAGCATTAGGGTTGTCACAGAGTAGCAGTTTTGAGGACCTAGACGCAAAGTAGAAATCCTAGGGGCATTCCAACATTGCAAAGAACTAGACCACGCACTAAAAAGGCCCGTCTGCTTCCAGCAATGTCCTCCCATTCCTGCACTACTTCACGGCGGAGTGCACATTCAGAAGGGAGCCCACCAGGTCAGGTCTTCCCACATGTATGATTATCTCAGTGAAAAACCTCTTCACCAGCCTCTCGCTGTAATACTCACTCTGCTTAATGCAGGCAAAGAGATTTGGGAGCTGCTAAGAAGAAAGAGAAGGGAAGTGGCTGCTGCTCTCAAACATCCTTTCAGTGATTTGCTAGAGATTCTAAAGCCACTGGCATGCCTCTGGGCCACACTCTTTCAGAGGGAGCACTACATCTAATTTAGTGTCCTCTGGTGAGATACAACGGAGGGCAGGATGGGGTGCTACAGTCCTGGTGTTTCCACCACAGGACACTGACAACTCTGCAGCAGGCTTTAGTGCCACAGTGCGCAGCACAGGCCCAGAATAGTCGAACTGTAGCCAGCAATCCCATCATCACCTAAAATCACTTTCCACAGAGTTCCCGGGCACATCCTATCCTAGTCTAGGCTAGGCAAGTGGTGGTAGTGGGTGGGCAACTGATTAATTTTATGTGCGAGGGCGGGGAGAGGGAAGGAGTATGGTGCTACCTAGGAATCAGAAGTACTATCGATACAGGTTTCCATCTATAGCTCCCTGCTGGTTGTAAGAGTTAGAAACAGACCATGGGGGGGGGGGGAATTTTTCCCCAGAGCTTCTCTGACTCCAGACATGTCCAGTCATCTAAGATTTCAGCTCTTGATCTTTCCAATGCTTAAGATTCACTGTGGTTCTGGCTGCTACTACCCACTCCCTTCTCAGATCCTCCGCCAGCCTGGGGTACTGCCTTGTGGGAGTATGGGCTCCAGGTGTCAGCCTTAGTTATCTTTGTCTTAAACTGAGTGGGTGGAAAAATCAGCCACTCTCCACCATTCTTATCTGAGAGACACAGACTATAATTCCAAGAACGCTGAAAACCTACAGAAGAGACCAACCATGGGAAATCATAGGCTGGCTCATTCCAGTGCTTTTCTGAGAACAGTCTGACTAGGCTGAGGCAGTTACCTACAGGGGCTACATCAGGCAACCATGTGGCAACCAATTTATATTCCTTAATCTGCCTGAAAGGCCAAGTGGCCTACGATCTTGGGGTGGCTTCTAGGCTTGACCTGGATTCTCCTCAAGCTCAATTTGCCTGATGATCTGTACTGAAGGAGGACAAAGCTGAACAAAGAGAGTGACAGCTGCTACTCCCCACATGGGGCCTGAAGGGCAGGAAGAACTGGGGTCTGAAGAATATCCACACAGAGGGATAAAGCCAATGATAGTTCTAGGTGGATAATGTTTAAAAAAAAAAAACAACTTGAGGGTGGGGAAGTGAGGAACCAGTGTAAGAATTTTCTTTCTCTCCTTTTGGGATTGAATCTCAACATCCTTACAGTCCTCTTTGGGTGCTTAGAAACCACCCCCAGGATCCAATCCCAATGTTACAGCTATTTGGTAGGGATGCGCTTACCATCAGGAACTTCATCTGGCCTCTTCCTCTTCTCGTACACAACAATGATCACCACTAGGACGATGATTTCCGCCAGAATTCCCAAGAAAGGCCAGAGTGGGGCCAGGTGGCTCCGCACCCTGAGGATGGTTACGACAGAATTGGAGCCAATGGGGTTGGTAGCATTACACTGGTATTCGCCGGGGTCTTCTGTGATCTGGAGGTTCACAATGTTCAACTCAGTGTAATTTTCCTTGTTGATGATGAAGAAGCGGCCAGAGGTATTGCTAATGTCCTGCTGAGGAGCACAGAAAGTAAGAATACACAAAATCAGAGTAGGTGAGCTAGCAGTGCCCCCGAGAGGACAGATGAGGGACCACTGTCTAGTACTGATGTAGCCAGGCCACCTCTGTCCAAGGAACTCAGAGCTCCTCACTCATGACCTCCCTTCAATATCATCACCCACAACAACAATAAATCAACAAGCTATTCGACAAACTGGTTTTCAAAGGCATTAGCCTAGGAATAACTTTCATCTTCCCTATCCTTCTTTTCTCAAACATTTTCTCTGTACCAAATGATAAATTGCTCAAAAGTAAGAGCAAGTAACAAATGCTTGTTTTAAATGTTTTTTCAAAATACAATAGATAATTAAAGAATCTGTGGCCATGAGAAGAGTAAGATGAAAATACCTACTTAGGAATCCCAGCCTATTCTGGCAAAAGCTCAAGGGCCTGCCTCCTCCCCAGTAACCAGTAGAGAGAATGGGCATTTCCTCACCAGCACCTTGGAAGACTAAATGCCTTGTGATCTTTCAGGGACTTCCCTGAAAATAAGCAGCATCTTTGTCTCTCCATTCTTCATCCTGTTCTACCCACTATTAATGAGCTTCTGAAATCTAGCCATCATTGCTGATGTTGGAGTATCACCACCTTGACATTTTATTACTGAGATGTTATGGAATCCAAATAACAATGGACCTGGAATCCTGACCCCTGGCTTTGTCACTAATTTACTGTGGTTAATATGGAACCTGTCTGTTTCTTTCCTCTGCAAAGTGAAGAAGTTGAATTAAATGATCTCTAGGGGTTCCTTATAATTCTGAAGATTGATAATGAATAAGGATGTCTGAAAACTTTAGTGCTGGGCATACAAAACTTGGGGTGAGAAGGAATAACATCAATATGATACCCCTCTGATGGAAGAAGAGACTGGTTAGATATTATTAAATCAAAGACAAAGTGAGAAAGTCTAAGAGGCTCTCCAAACAGACTGGAAAAATCATCCCACAGATGGGAACAGATGTTCTCCTTGATCTTTTCTGGAGCAATAAAGTCAGATACCCAATGTCTAAGGTGGCCCTAAAGCGTCATCAGATGACTCCAACTCCTAATCCGTTTTTCCTGTGGTCCAGGAATATATGTTGTTGCTGTTACATGCCATTGAGTCAGACCTGACTCATAGTGACCCCTCCCTGGGTTTCCGAGGCGTTATCATTACGGAAGTAGATTGCCCAACCCTCCTTCCGAGGAGTGGCTAGTGGGTTTGAACTGCCAGCCTTCCGGTTAGCAGTCAAGTGCCTTAGGCACTATGCCATCAGAGCTCCTAGGAATATATGGAGTATACTAATAATTGCCCTGAGTGTCTTGTCTTCCTGAAAAACAAAGCAGCACACTAAAATTACTTCAGGATAGTTTTCTGAACTATTTCCTTCAGGTCAAATAGACTAGAATAGCAATAAAAGTTAAGATTAGGTTTAGCTCATTCAATGTCCTATCCCAAGGGCAAGCAATCTAATCCCTAACCAGACAGACAGATAGCCTTAACAAGTCATGCAGAGGGATGCCTGCTGAATGGAGACTGCCAGGAGCCTCCAGTTTCGTGACATAAGCCATCATTCATGACCCTGGGGAGGATAAGTGAAGCCATCCACACATCCCAGGGTGTGGCTATTCCTACAACTGATCCAGATGTCTGCACTTCCCCCGGGGAAACTCTAGCAAAGACACAGACCAGGCACGGAGAACCAGGACTGTCCTCCTACTCACCAAGACTCCACCGGGCCCCTTCTTTTGCCATACCCACTCTGGGTGAGGGTAACCAACTGACTTGCAGTACATCATGGCATCCTGCCCTTCATTCTTGTTCTCGCTTCGTTTATGGCCAGTGATGTCAGGAGCAGCTGTGAAAAGAGTGTTGAACAGTTACCATGGAAGCTTGTACAGGGACACAAAATTCACCTATTGGCTCAGTGCCCTACTGCAGTCAGTCTTCAGGACCACTCTCATTTTTAGCTTTGAGAAGGGGCTTTTCAGGTCAGAATAGGACAATGGGACCAACATCTTCTCCTATTTTCTCCCTCACCCCATCCAAGCAGCCCAAGTGTTCCCCAATCTGCTGGAAAACAGTGCAGGTCCAATTGCCTTAAATTAATTAGCCCTCCTTTAATTGAAGAAAATGCAAACAGAAAACTCTTATCTCCTCCACCAGTCTTTTTTCTTTCCCTTGTAATACCTGTATTAACAACAATAGATCATGTCAGCTGTCACACATGACTTTAAGGAAATGAGAGTTCCCTGAATGTAACACCCCAAATCAAGTTCTACTGCAAGGTATGTAAAACCAGTAAATGAGAAGCTACTCAGTGAGTCTCTGCTATTAATCAAGTGATAACAAAGGCTCTCCCAGGAAAAAGAGGATCCAGCAAAATGGTCTTCTGATGGGGAAGCAGAGTATGAACAGGAAATTCAAACAGTGTCCTAGGAGATTTTATTAACAGCTTAAGAACTGACTCACAAACCTTATTAGCAACAATGTCAATGAACCAAATCTTGGAGAAATTTCTAGACCTGCTAGAGGCTATCAGTCTTCTCTGCTTTTAAAGGACACCTAGGAAGAAATAAACAGCACCTGAGTCTAAAACTTGGATCAGTTTCAAGGATCCAAGTAGCCTGAGATAGGGGCCGATTCTTTGAATTTAGTCTTCTCTTATCATAACTATGTTTTCCACCAATGCTTCACCAGTTACAGTTATCTGAAAGCAATAAAACTCAAAATAGGCCTAACGTCACTTTGTTGGCCAGGGTGGAAAGAATCAAAAGGCCTGTCCAAATTCCAGTTTTGCTGGTTCTTTAATTATTCTGTGTTTCAGTTCTACACCCACTACGAAATGGAGATAGTTCTTGCCCATCTGGCTCCAAGAGTTCCTAAATGGATGAATAAGACATCAAGACATTCATTTTGAGACTATAAAAGCATATACAATTATACAGTATCACAGGCTAATTCCATAAACCTCCACTTTGACTGGCGTGGCTTAAAAACAATCAAAGCTCCTGCTGGAATGAAGGCTCAAACTGTCTCTACAACCAGCCATTGCCAAACTAAGACCTTCTCAGCACCATTCAGTGAAAGATGTTTTCTAGACAGGATATTATAAAGGAAATGTGTGTGTATGTTTTCCCAAGCAAAATTCCTCACTACATAAGAAGGGAGTAAGTCAGGCTGTTTCTATTTTCCAGCCAAGCCAAACTTTTTTCACAGTCACTTAATTCACTTCTTAGACCTCATGTTTGGCCTGGTCACCCTTCCTCAAAGCTTCCTATGGGCAATACATATTAAGTATGTAGAACAAGCTCTGTACCCGCCCACTAACTAGAACAGCATCATGGATGAGCGAGGGGACACAACAAGCAAAAAAGCCATTACGTGTTGCCTCGGGCTGTATTTCACTCATTGGAGAAACATGTGCTGAGCACCCACTACATGTCAGAGTGATCAGGAAAGGCCTTTCTAATGAGGTGAATGTTAGCAGAGTCATGAAAGAAAAAGGGAGTAGGCCATTCAGATATGTGCAGGAAGAACATTCTAGGCAGAGAGAAAAGACAAAGACCTTGAGGCAGGAACACGCTTGTTATTTATAAGGAACAGTGAGGAGGAGTTTGTCTGAAACACAGTGTGCAAAGAGAAGGCAGGAGAAGACAAGAGGGACTGACACCCTAGATCGGACAGGATTTTGCAGGCCATTGTAAATGACTTTAGCACATACCAAGTCCGCTGGCCAGTCACTAGCGAATACTGAGCAGAGAACTAAAATGACCTATACATTTTAATAGGTTCTCTCTGGCCACTATGTGGACAATTGCAGAGACAACAGTAGAAGCAAGGAGATCAATTAGGAGGCTATGACAGTAATCTAGCCGAGAGAGGTGGTGATTTGGAGCAAGGTAACAGCAGGAGAAGGGTGATAAGGAGTAGTAAGATTCTAAATACATTCTGAAGGTTGAGTTAATAAGTATTTGCTGAAGGACTGGAAATGAGATGTGAGAGGAAAGAGAGCCAAGAATGCCTCCAAAGTTTTCAGCCTCAGTAACTCTAAGAGTGGAGTTGCCAGTTACTAAGAGGAGAAGATTGCAGGAGAATCAGGATAATTTTGTTTTTGTTTTGTTTTGTTTTGTTTTGGGCTATAGTTGGAGGAGTCCACACCAAACCAAACTCACTGCCGTCGAATCGACTAGACTCACAGTCTAGTCAACCCCTCTTTGGGTTTTCAAGGCGGTATCACTACAGAAGTAGATTGCCCTATCTTCCTTCCAAGGAGTGGCTGGTGGGTTTGAACCACCGGCCTTCTGGTTAGCAGTCAAATGCCTTAGGCACCATGCCATCAGTGGTGGTGGTTAAAAAAAACAAACAGGAGTTCAGATTTAGGACATGTTAAGTTTGGGATACTTAATTAACACCCAAGTAAAGTTGTCAAGTGAGCAGTTTAGGGGACTGGTCTAGGGTAAATGTATAAATTTAGAAGCCATCAGCTTACATGTGGTATATTTCTTTTCCATTTTCATGCTCTTCTGCCCCAAAGTATCGCGGCCAGCACGACACTACTAGAACAGGTGGTAAGAGAATGAGAAAAGATAGAAAGAGAGGAGGCTTAGCTAAGGTGTCTCCGTATAAACCCCGGAGCGGAGGGGCAAAGCCACACCGTTATGCCATATGCCTCAAGTGAGAACGGAAGGAACACACAGGAAGGAAAGACTTAGAGGAACATAGACTCCAAGCATTGATGCAGTGCGTCTGTACAATATAAGACTCCAAAAGCATTGATACGCAGCATCTGTATATAAATCTACATTGATGCACAGTGTCTGCATGTTGAGTCCATAGTACATTGATGCACATAGCATCTGCTCAGTCAGAAAGGCTGCTCCTGTCCCACCACCTACTGAGCAGGGCACACAGTAAGGAAGGTAACAGCACATGGAAGCTGTGGTCAGAAAGACTGTCTCTTAAGGCTCAGAGTCCACCTGCAGTGATTTTTAAATAGTCAACAAATTCTGTGATACTTCTCTCTTCAAGAAGGAGCTCTGGTGGTATAGTGGATAAGGGACTTGACTACTAACTGGAAGGTCAGCAGTTCAAACCCACCAGCTGCTCTGTGGAAGGAAGACTGGGCAACGTACTTCCGTAAAGACTTACAGCCTTGGAAACCCAATGGGGGTTGCTATGAGTCAGAAACGACTCGAGAGCAGCGAGTTTGATTTTTTGTTGTTTTCTCCCTTCAAGAGGTGGAGCCGAATTCCCCTCCTACTGACTGTGGGCTGGACTTCCTGACTCTTCTACTAAGTAACTTAAGCAGAAGTAAAGGTGTACAACTGGACAACTTCCCCAAAGGCACTGCGGCTTTCCTCTGGCTGTCACTCTTGGATAGCGTGTTCTGGGGGAGGTTAGCTGTCATGCTACAAGGACCTCTCCAATAGCCTATTGAGGGGCCCACATGGTGAGGAATGGAGTCTCATGCCCACAGTCATGTGAGGGAGCCCTCTTGGAAGTGAATCCTCCAGCCCTGTCAAGCCTTCAGATGTCTGCAGCTCTGGCCAACAGCTTGATTGAAATCTCATGAGAGACCCAGAGCTAGAACCATCCCATTAAGCTGCTCTTTCACTCCCAACCCACAGATACTATGAGGTAATAAACATCTGTTGTTTTATGCCACCAAGTTATAGGCTATTTATTATGCAGCAATAGATAACGTATACACTACCCAGTGAGGTAACATACACATTACCCCATTTTTACAGATGGGAAAATTCATGTGTGCAAAGTTATTTAAAATCTAAAATTACATTGTTAATAAATGGTAAAGCTAGAATCCAAATTCTGACCCAGAAGCTGTGATTTTTGTAATTCTCCAAAAGAGGGAAAGAAATCTAACTAGAACAGAGTCCACATAAAAATTTAAAATATGGGTCACTGATAACTGCGTAACAAACTGCCCAAAGGTTAGCTTTGCTTCTAGATGCACTAACCAAAAATAAACCAAAATCACTGCCATCAAGTCGATTCTGACTCATAGCGACCCCTCCCTTGGGTTTCCGAGGCAGTATCATTACAGAAGTAGATTGCCCAACCTTCCTTCCGAGGAGTGGCTGGTGGGTTTTCAGAACCCCCAGCCTTCTGGTTAGCAATCAAGTGCCTTAGGCACTAAGCTACCAGAGCTCCCCTTTATCCACTAGGACACCCTATACCAAAGGTAGGAATGGTTAACTCCATACATCGTATAATGTAAAGAAAAGAGCTTTTGGACTTAAAGTCAGAAAAAACTAGGTTCTATCGAGGTGCTCTCACTCACCAACTGAGTAACATAAACCAGCCATTAAAAATCCTTTGAGTTTCAGTTTTCACTTTTATAAAATGAGAATACTCACATATTTTATAGAAGTGTTGCAAAGATTAAATTACATCTCTATACTAATCTAAGGAGCTCTGGTAGCATAGTGCCTAAGGTATCTGACTGCTAACCAGAAGGTTGGTGGCTCAAGCCCATCAGCCACTCTGTGGAAGCAAGACTGGGCAATCTACTTCCATAAAGATTTACCACCTCGGAAACCTAATGGGGGTCGCTATGTGACGGAACTGACTTGACGGCAGTGGGTTTGGTTTCTTTTGGTTTTATACCAATCTAGGAGGTCTGGTGATGCTATGGTTAAAGCATTTGGCTGTTCACCAAAAGGTGGGCAGTTTGAACCCCCCAGCCCCTCCACGGGGGAAAGATGAGACAGTCTGCTTCTGTAAAGATTTACAGCCTTAGAAACCCTATGGGGGCTTTCCACTCTGTCCTACAGGGTCACTAGGAGTTGGAATTAACTCTATGGCAGTGAGTTTTTTACACCAATTTAGCAGATG